CTCACAAGGAGAAGCTGCTGAAGAGAACCCCGGGCCACTGACTTCGAAGTACGTGGTAGATTGTCGAAAATGAGCCGTTTCAGTCAAAAGGAGATATGTGGGCACATTCTGACAAGACTAGTACAGCGACAACTGGTGCTCCTACTGCCAATGCTACTGCTTCCTTTACCTAACCTTCAAGTTGATCTCATAGGAGAAGTTCCAGGCAGCCGTGCTCAGGGATCTTGCCACAGTCGTAAATAAACATAGCCAAACAAAAGCTAGAATCCAACCCGCTGCTTCGGCCATCCTCTGCCGATTGAAAGTAAAGGTCCTTGAAATGTGAAGGATGAAGACTACGCCTGGGGCAAATTGCAGCTCTGCTCGTCCGTTTTGGTGTCTTTGCGAAGCTTGGCGGTCCGTCCCGAGTGAGTACACGTTGCTTGCGCCCGTTCGGCAGCGAGCAAAACGTCATGAATGCTGACAGCTCATGTCGATTATGTTGCTTCTAGAGTCTAGAGAGCAGCTCCTCATAGCTTGCGAGTTGGGCCAAAGCCATGACGTGTTGAGAGCATCTGGCAGGGCTTGACAGAAGCCTGTCGCGGCCACATATATTCTGGATTCTGGAGCAAGAGCTGCCCGCATGATTTGGGAAACACTTCTTGTAAGGGTCCCAGCGCCAGCAGCAGTCTTCGAACATCCATCTGTCCAAATCAACTGACCAAAGGGCAACGCAGAATCGTTTTGATGAGTGACTGGGCATGAATGTATTGTGTCATTCATTGTATCTGGCAGGTCTCGGTAAAGCAAAGCTGCGCTGCGAAACCGCGAACTCTGCATCCATCAAGACCAGGCCAAGCCTTCATGCTACCTAACAGGCCTGCAAACTTGAGTTGTTTTCTTAAGGGCATCTTACCATTGTAGCTAAAAACTCAAAGAGTGCTATGCAGTGCTACTGACATCATCGCGAAGGTTGTGACACACTCGCGATTTTACGTTTGCTGCTATCATCATTGCAACGATGGCAAACCGGGGCGATGATTTACGCCGAGTCCTTGGACAGGTCTGAACCCAGTTTGAAATTGTGCCATTCGAGCTCTCACCGACTCTGTTGCGGAAGGCGTTGAATACTCCGAGCGTGCCTAGTAACTCCGCAGCGACAAACAACTTCTCGCTTCAGCACGTGTGCACAAAGACATAACAACATCAATCTGCTCCGAACGAGTTTCTTGCTGTTGGACCATAACCCTAAACACTGCAGTGGCGCTTCGCTGTTGGTATTGTAGCTCACAATAAACCCTTACACCCTAAACTTTATCTCCTTCCAAAAGCATGGATGTGTCTGCAAAAGTCGTGCCGACCCTTCGGGCGACCCGTCACTTTCTCGAGAGCTGAGGTCCCAAAACTTGGACTCCCGCAAGATCAGGGTGTAGAGATTCTGCATATCGGACCCTTGATAGAATAGTTATCGAATGTTCTTCTGAAAGTCTGAAACCTCCAAGCCGACTGGACTCGAATATGCTAGGGGCCATGGGTTGCGCCCTGAGATGCACTGAATGACTGGGGGCCTCATCTCTCAAAGACCCCACATGCAAGCTTCCGAAAGCACCTAGGGGAGGGCTGAACCATACCGGATGCTACGACGGTTTACTGACTGCACTTCGCTTCAGTCCTCCCTTCCACTCGGAAACCCGATCTAGTGTTTCGTGTGACACTAGCGTGGCGTTGTTCCCGTCCCTCGGCCGTGGAGTGACAGACATGGGGACACTCACAATGTCAATGGTGCATATGGGAGTTTCGGAAAATAGGGGACCCTAATATAGTACTCTAAAAAATAGGATCCTTATTATCAGGACCCCAAAATCAGGTATCCGTATTTTCGGAAACTCCCATATGCCACGGGCAGAATGAGCTCCGGGTTCCAGGTCACACAGATTCAGGATCGTTCGAACGACTGGACAAACATCGTACATAGGTACATCTAAGCATGCTTACATGGAGTCGTGTAAAAATACATGCATGCGCATATTTGTGTGTATACAATATGTATGCATATGATATGAGCACTTAGACTTAGGTATGCATGTGTGCATTCATCCTGGCATGTATATGAGCGCATGCAATCATACACCTGCATGCATGCATGCATGTATGTGTGTGTATGTGTGTATGTAGGTAAGTTCGGGGCATGTGTGTGTGTGTGTGTGCGCGCCTGTATGTACTTATGTACGTACATATGTAGGTATGTATGTGTGTGTGAGATAATGCATGTATGCATGTATATAAACACCCGCGCATATATATATATATATGTGGGAAACCCCTTGCAGGCACATATATGTATATGTGTGTGTGTGTGTGTGAAAAATGTGCCTGCATGCCGATGTCTGCATGTATGTAATAGCCATGTACCTAGTGCGTATGTACGCAGGTACGCGCGTATGCCTACGCTTTCTTGTGTGTATGTATGTATGTATGCATGTATGTATGTATGCATGGATGTATGTATGTGGTTTGTTTGCGGTTGTTTGTGTGTGTGTGTGAAACACTTACATAAATATGATACATAAGTAGTCCACACTCACATAAACACCGCAGCTCGTCACGTAGACATAGACATTTCCGTTGGCACGTCCGATGCGATGGCCATAAACACTTGGTATCTGCAGATGGCTAGTCAGCTAGTCATCTACTCCTCGCTACCATGTGTGAGCGTGTAGATGTCAGCATCAACCAGCACCTCTTCACAGCCTCTTCGGAAATACCCAGTCACAACAGCAAAAGGAATAAATAAGAATAGAACAAAACACTAGCAGCTGCACCTGCGCAACCGCAACGACGACGACGACAACAACAAATTTATTGGACGCTGAGCGAGCGGGCTCTGCTCATTGCGGGCGAGCAGAAACTTCGGAAGCGTGCCATCCCCGAGTGTGCCGTGAGCCAGCGCCACCGGGTTAGCCATAAGCTAGCACCACTCCCTTAGGATCTGACCTGCCGACATTCTTATAGAGGTTACGCGGTCTTCGCCCGGCGGCCTTGTAAAGAAAAAGAAACAGACTGGCGCTTTGCGCGAGGGGACTGCCCATGCGAGAATCGCAGGTACCTCCTTCATCCGTTTCTGAGAACTACGACCGAAGTCAGGTCCCGAGGCCTCGCGTAAAACAAGCCAAAACGAACTGACCAAACAAAACCAACAGAGAAGACCGCGCAACCCCTATAGGATCCTCAGTGAAGGAAAAAAGAGGAGCCGATGCAACAAACGTTAAAAGAGAAAAGGCCTAAGTCAAGAAGAGCAGCGCTGCAGACTGTACACAGCAGCAACAGCTCTTGGGCACCAGCCTCTAGGGGATAGGCCACAAGAAGTTGACTTCAGTAACAAAGGCGTTGCCCGTTTTTGCGCGAGCGATGCCCGAAACTCCTAACGTGACAGCCCGACTCACAAAGTCGTCGTCATGTAGCCTCCGTCACCCTCAGTGTGAGTCTTTGCGTCCAATACTCACGAGTCGTACTCAGAAGAGCCGTCTCCCAGAGTTCCCGTCTAGTGGCGTCCCACACGAGGTAACTCCCGACTACCAGCGATGGGCCGTAAGGATAATTCGTCGTCAAGCAAAAAAACACGTGGGCCGTCACTCCTAGCACTGCCTGACCCCGTCGGTAACAGGACAGTAACGAACACACCTGGGAGGGCCGTAGCCGTAGCCCGACACCCATAGCACAGCAAGCGCGTCCGCTTAACGACTGTACCCAGATGTGACGTGGAGCCGTACCAGGTAGACACCGTGCTGGAACTGAAGACGTTGGCCAACTCTGCTGAACCTGAGTCCCCAGTGTCCCAATCTGCGCCTTGTCTTGTAGACAAGTCTGGCCCGGCGGCCCCCGAGAGGCCTCCCCCACCAGAGAGGATAGCCCCTCTAGGCCCACAAGGGCACCCCATAGCAAGAGGAGTCCCTGAAATGCCCGTCGGGGCCAGCATTGGGAGGATGCTGACGCGTTGTGAGTCACCACGTTGCGCCTAGCCTGTCCTGAGTCTGACTTGCTCCCAGGCGCTGGCGGCTGAACAGAAGTGAAGCGCAGAAAACACTCAACCGTGACGAAGAGCTCTCGATCGCACTGGCTTCGTAGCAGCCGGTGGCAGTCCACTGTGCCGTTGAAGAAAAAACTAGTGCTCGAAGAAGACTGCATGAGAATACCAGACGATCCGTGTCCTTCTTGCGGAGGTGTACCAGTTAAAGCGCAAAACCAGAGCGCCAGCAAAACTGCGCAGGAGAGACCTTGAGCTGTACCTGGGTGTCTTGTCGTGTAGCTGGAAAGTCGAAGAGAGGAGCGGAACGAGGCCTCAACTCGAAAGCTTCCTTCAGGATACCCAGGTGCAGAAGATGGCCAACCCATGACTGGGGCCGCCCCTTGAATGGCTTGGTGCGGCAGGTCCTTTTGTAAATGTAAAAGCATCGGCAGGAGAAAAGCACTGAGGCACAGTCGACGCGCCTTCCGCTAGCTTCGCCGGAAAGAGAAAACTCGATCCGACTCCCTTCACCCCGCGGAAAGGTGATAACCCTACCGCTTACCTCTTGCCAATGTTGTGTAACTGCAGACAGAGGCCCGGGAATTGTGACCCGGTAGATCACAGCGACACGTGGCTCCAGGGATGGCTATGGCTCAATAAGAGGACGGTCCCTTAAGCTTCGCAGAAGGGGGACGTTGCGAGCCTCTAGCGTTGGTACCCAGAGCCTGGTTAGCAAAGCTACACAGCCTGCTGTGATCCATAACGGCTACGACAACAACAACAACGACGACATGACACAAACATCAGCTGCGGTCACCTTCGGCTCATGACATGCTACAGCGGGAAAGCGTAGGCTTGCATGTCACTCCTTCGGACGTGGGAAGGATCCAACTTGAGGATGCCTCGACTGGCAAGCTCCTTTGGAGCTCCAAATCCCTTGTAGTTTCAGGGTTTCCTGGGTAGTCTAGGTCCCTTGAGGGTTGAGGTGGATTACGGGACTTTTCCGTCTGGGCTC